TTCCCACACAGCCCGCAGACCCGGCCCTGCGGTCCAGGGACGGCGGCACGGGGGGCTCAGGGCGTGTGCAGGAGGGGCCAGAGCCCAGCCCAGCCTCCTGTGACCCCACACGCTCCCCTGGGGCCCCACATCCCCACGGCCCCCCAGGAGGAGGGGGCCCCGAGTGTGCAGGGTGGCTCTCCACCTTCACCGTGTGTGGGGCCCCACTCAGCACACAGGGTCACGGTGGCGTCCCTCCCGGAGGAAAGGCGGTGCAAGAGAGGAGCACTGGGGGCTACGTGGTGTCCCCTACAGACCAGCTCAGGTCCTGACCCGGGACCCGTGAGCGTGGCCTGATGTGGAAGTAGGGCCACTGCAGACGGGGACCCGGCTGGGATGAGGACGCCCTGGGTGGGCGTGGGCTGTGGCTACGGGGACTTGTGGGCACAGACACCAGTGAGGACAGCAACGTGAGGGTGCAGGCAGAGGCAGGAGGGTCGCCTGGGGCCCCAGACGCTGGAGGAGGCAGGAGGGGTCCTCCCCCCGAGCCCCCAGAGGGAGCGGGCCCGGGGACAGTTGCACGGGACTTCGAGCGTCCAGAACCACGAGGAGCCACGAGTTTGTGACAGCGTCCTGGCAGCTACAAGACACAGCACGCACAGCGAAGGGCCTCCCTCCTGCCGCCTCCCTTGAGGCACGCCATCTGGTTCAGGGCGAGGGCGGGCCATCCCGGGGGTTGGGGGCCCACCTTGAACTCAGGGCTGAGTTTGAGGAAGATGCTGGTCTTCCTGTCCCACAGAAGCACCAGGCCAGCCTCGGTGTCCACCACCAAGTAGATGCCCATCTGGCGGATGGAGTAGGGGACATCCTGCCCCACACCCTTCTCTGTCACCTCCACACCGCCATCACTCAGCCTCAGCTCGTAGCTCTGCGCAGAAGGGGTCACTCAGGCTTGTCCCCACTCGCCTTCCCAGGCACCCCTCCAAGGTGGTCCCCGTCCCTCCCCACCACCCGCCCCACTCACCCCCAGGAACAGCTTGATGGCCTTGGAGCAGGTGACGCCCGTGGTCCCGCAGGGGACGTTCTCGGTGACCACGCGGAAGGTTCCGTTGGTGGTGCCGTTGCCCCCACAGTGGTCCTGTGGCCAGGCAGAGGCTGTTCCTGCGGCTCGGAGGCTGGGGTGCCCAGAGCTGCACTGTAGGACCGCGGGACAGCCGGGGAGCCCCCAGGACTGCGCACCTGAACCAGCGTGTACCCACAGTCCCCACTGGAGCTGTAGCGCCTCCCGTCAAAGGTGAGGTAGTGACCGTCCCCGTACACTGCGCAGGTGGCCAGGCAGGTGTCCTCTGTGCACTGCCACATCCTGTTCTTACAGGTGCTGGGGGCAGGGGGCACCGGTCAGGCCGAAGCTGGCCATGGGGAGTGGGGGTGGGGACAGGCCCCTACGGGGGCCATGGGCAGATCCCGAGGGCTGGGCCGCACCCCCCACTGCAGGGAGCCCGCTCCCTGCCGCGTACCAGGTATTGCAGCCCACCCGGATGGTCTGGCCGGGCAGGTAGCTGGCCTCGTTGTGCACACAGGGGCAATCGGCTGCAGTGAGGCAGCGGCCCTCACCATCAGCCACCAGCCCGTCAGGACACACGCAGCCAGGCTCGCACTGGGAGCTGTACTGTGGGGCACAGGAGACACGGCTCAGCTGGCCGGGGTCAACAGCCGAGGGCCCCCCCGCCACGGCCTGCAGTGAGCCCAGGGAGCCCTCTGGCAGCGGTCTTCCCGGGAGCAGCCCTAAAGGGCCCCATGGCAGAAGCCCATGGGGGGGTCACTGGGGGTGTGGGGGCTCTCACACAGTCCATGTCCAGGGTGAAGCAGCTCTTCTGACAGCTGGCCCCGGCGGCCCCCGGCGTGGCGTTGCGACAGTCGAAGTAGACCATGGGTGGGGTGCAGACTGGGGAGGTAGGGGCCATTCAGGGTCCCCAACCACCACCCACCAGGCTGGCTCTGAGAGACACGGCTGCACACGGTGTGGCCCAGCGGCCGAGTCGGTGCTGCCCGCCCTGAGGCTCAGCCAGCGGGGTGCGTGTGCGCGTGTGCACGGTGTGTGTCCACAGTGTGCGTGTGGCACGTGCGTGTGAGTGAGTGTATATGTGTCCACGGTGTGCATGTGCACGTGGCACGTACGTGTGCATGAGTGAGCATATGTGTGTCCACGGCGTGCGTGTGCACGGCATGCTCACACATGCCACCACCCCCTCACTGAGCTGGCCTGACAGAAAAACCCCTCCACACCCACCAGCCACACTGACTTGGGGGGTGGGCCACCCAGAAGCTTGGAGATAATGAGAGCCCCTCCCTCTCTGTGGACTCACCTGGGGTGGGAACCTGGCCTCCGATGCAGGTCAGCGTGCCTTGTGTGCAGGTGCTGGGACAAGAGGGTGGTCAGAGGGTCCCCCATCCCGGCCACCCTGCCCACCAAGCCCATCTGGCAGGGGCTCTTACCAGATGACCCCACGGTCATGCAGCGACTCCCCGTTGGGGACCACAGAGCCCCCGTGGTAGCAAGGACAGCTGGTGGCCGGCACACACTTGCCCGCATCATCCATGAAGGTGCCATGGGGACAGGTGCAGCCGTCCACGGGGACAAAGCTGATGCCGCAGGTGACGTCCTCGTGACTCCGGGCCCGGCAGGTGGGCTGGCAGGTGCTGATGTGGTAGTGGTAGGTCAGCGACTTTGGGCAGGTGGTCGTGGGCTTCACTGCGGGATGCCAGGTGGGGGGAGGCAGTCAGGATGGCAGCCATCACCCACACCCACGCCCACCTCCCCTGCCCCAGCTGCAGGGTCCCAGGCCCGGCTGGCCAGGGCACTCCAGGGCTCCAAGCCCCGCACGGGACAGAGGCCCCAGAGCACGTGTTTGGGGGGGGACACTCACTGCACACGCCGTCCCTCCAGCCGCTGAGCAGCACCCCCTTGGCGGCGCAGGCGTGCACGTAGGAGGACAGGGCCGCACACAGGCAGTCCTCGCTCTTCTCACAGTTACACGTGTCGAACATGCAGTTCTGGGGACAGGGCCATTGTCACCCACACGCCATGTGCATCCCCCACGCTGCCGCCCCTGCCTCCTCTAGGACCCCTCCTCAAGCCCGCACCAGGGGCCTCCATGCCCTCTACAGACCATCTTGGCACCAAGCTCCCCTCCAGGTGGGTGCTAGAAGCACCACAGCCCCTCCTCTCTGGGACCCAACAGGTGCCAGCCCGTGTGGTCAGGCTCAGACCCCAGAGCATCTCAGCCACCACTGATCTGTCATTTGGACTCCAGGGCCCGGCCGGACACAAGCCCTCAGGGGTTGTCGGCCCCCATGCCTGGTTACAGGGCTAGAGGCACAGATGAACTCCAGACCTCGGACCACGTCGGACCCTTGCGGAGCCCTTCTCCCCGCACCGAGGGCAGCCGTGTGGCTGGAGGGGAGAGGTGGGTGGGTGGGTGTTACCGAGTAGTAGATGCCAGGGTTCACGGCAGCATGGCACCGGGCGAAGGGGCCGTGGGCATCCGTCAGCCGGGAGCACCAGTGCTGAGCGTACTTCTCTGTGGACAGAGGTCAGCAGGCTGGACAGTTGGCGTCCAACGGAAGCTACACACGTGTACAACCTCCCGTAGGGAACAGCGCCAGGAGTGCACAGGCTCCCAGGCTCCCTCCTGGGTGCCCCTGCTACGGTCGGTCGTCAGGCACGCTGAGGGCACGCCTCCACCACCCCCGCAACACCCTGTTCCTCTTCTTCCAGAAGCTACCACAGCTTTACCAGAAGTAATGGGAAATTAGTTGGCGAGTTTGCCTGTTTACCTCCTGAATCCCTCCTCCGGGGCCAGAGTGGATTCTGCGGCCCAGGGTCACCGGCACCCAGGTGGGGCTTGGGACTGTGGGGATCCACATACCGTTCTCCACGCTGAGGGAGCAGGGGTCCTCGAAGCTGTTCTTGACGTTGGGGCAGGTGGCTTGGGTCTTCCAGGTGTTGGCGAAGGCAGCGGCCGTGCCCTCCACCACGCCGCTGAGGGTCCGGAAGTCATCGGCCTGGTTCTGGTTGAAGTTCCCGCACAGGCCTGGGTGGGAGGGCAAGCATGAGGCCCCGTGAGACCTGGCCGCCGAGGGTGGGCCCGGGCGACCAGGGCAGGCGGTGCCTCTTACCGCAGGTCAGCCCGCGGAGCTCGGGCCCCAGCCTCACGAACACCTGCATCATAGGCACCAGCTGGATACTCAACTGCAGGCCCAGGTTGGTCTGGGCGACGATGAAAAAGGTTGAGGGTCTGAAGAGCGTGACGTTGGCTGTGGACACAGGGGACAAGGCCTCAGTGGGCTGTGAGGGGCGGGACCCTCAGGGGGCAGGCCCGACACCCTCACCTGCTGAGATGGGCATCTGGGTGTAGATCTGGTTCACAAACACCTCCCCGCTGGCCTTGACCGTGATGACCTGGGAGCAGCAGGGAGCGGGGTCAGGGCTCAGCCAGCGGCCCCCGTGGGCCCCAGAGGCTGTGACATGTGCCTGCAGGACCCCTGCCCCTGAGGGCCACAGGCTCCCTCGAGGAGGGGCTGACGAGCCAAGTTCTGCCCTGGGCTCAGCTTGTTTGTCTACGTTTCCCTCAAGGACCGAGCATTCTCTCAGGTAAAAACCCAAGTGATTTTATGAAATAATAAAAATAAAAAACAAAAATAAATTAAAAATAAAATAAAATAGAGACAAGGTGTCTTCAATGAAGCCGAGCTACCGGGGGTGTCCTGGTCCCTCCTTCCAGGGCTGCTGGGGGCAGGCGTGGAGGCCATGGTGCCCCTCCCCCAAGTGCTTCCATCTGGGGACCATCACTCAGAGACCCGTGGGGTGGGAGGGTCCTCAGGCTGAGCCCCGGCCCCTCGCCCCCCACGCCAGGTCAAGGGCTTGGGCTCTGCCCAAGGGACAGAGACTTGCATGAGGGACACAGACTCCCCCAACCCACATCTGCTCTCACCATGCGCCCCCCCGGCCCCGGGTCTGCTCTCACCGTGTGCCCCCCCAACCCACATCTGCTCTCACCGTGTGCCCCCCGCCCAGGCTCAGCGTCAGGCTCCTCAGGCAGGTCTCAGTGTCTGTCCGGCCACACCTGCGCACCTCGGCCAGCACAGTGAAGGCACTGCTCTTACAGGGCTGCAGACACAGGTCCTCATGCTCAACCCAGAGGCGCCAGGCCCCTCCCCGCCTCCTCACCCACCCTGGAAATCCTGTGGGGTGGCGCCAGGAGCTGGGGGCCACAGATGCCGCAGCTGTCTGCAGCCCGGGCAGGGCGGCCGCGGCTGAAAGCCCTGTGCTGAAGCGAGGACCCCGGGGCCCGTACCTTGGCCAGCACGTAGCTGCAGTCCCCGTGCACTGTGTACTGCCTCTCGTCAAACGTGGAGAAGTGGGGGCCCCCCAGCACTGAGCAGGTGCCCGGGCACGGCAGCTCCTGGCAGCTCCACTGGCCCCCGGAGCAGGTGCTGAGTACGGGCAGAGACCAAGCGTGTGCAGCTCCTGGGAGCGTGCAGCCCAGCCCCCGCGCTGGCAGGTGGACACGGGTCTTGCCCAGGCCCGCCTGCATCACTGCACAGACCGGGCCCACTGGTGTCTGCATGACGAGCCCCTAGCCCTTGCCTGGGACCCCAGGTGAGAGATGGCAGCCGGCACTTGGGCCATGGCCTCCCGGGGGCCATCCCGGGACACGTTCAGGGGTACAGGAGGGTGGGGGCCTGGGGTCCTACCAGTTGGTGCAGTCTGTGGCATAGCTGGCTCCTGGAGCGTAGACGGCCCCGTTGTACACACAGGAGCACTGGGTTGCAGGGATGCAGCCGGCCTGGCCGAGGTCATCCAACACCATCCCTGCAGGAGCAGGCAGGCCATACGGCAAGTGCCAGGCTGAGTCCACCCCCTGAGCAGGTGGAGGGACCCGCCCTCTGCCCAAGGTCGCTCTGCCCTTCAGGGGCTCCTCAGACCCAGGGGCCCTGAAGGCGTCTGTGTGATTCTCAGGGGGCTCCTCTCACCCTCGGGGCAGAAGCAGCCGGCCACACAGTGGTCTTCGCAGAGCTGGGAGTGCTCCAGGTTGGAGCAGGTGTCCGCACAGGGCGAGCCGCACTCGTGATACTCCATGTTGAGGGGGCAGGTCTGGGCTGCAGCGGGGAGGACGGAGCCAAGTCACATCCCACACCCACCTCCGGGCCAAAGCAGGGCAACATGACAGGGGCACTCACGGCAGAGGTGGGGGCCCCTCCAGTCCAGGGGCTGCCCCCCAGCGTGGGCGCACTGGCGGGAGTACTCGGCGAGCGTGTGGCAGATGCAGCTGGCGTGGGTAGCGTTCTCACAGAGGCAGAGGTCCTGCCGGCAGGCCTGCACGTAGCTGCGGGCGTCCACCAGAGCGCGGCAGCCCGAGAACATCCAGCTACTCAGGATCTCCTCGCAGATGCCCTGGGTGCGGAGCCGGGAGGCCGGGCTGAGTGCAGGCTCCGGACCCTCCCCTGGACTCCTGGCCCCCACCCCACCTCGGCCCCACAGGAGCAGGACCCACCCCCAGCTCCCGTTCACATCAGGGCTTACAGTGCCAGGGGAGCAGTCCCTCAGGGGTACAAGGACAGGGTCCTGACACTGCTCCGTGGGGCCGTCCATCTTCTGCAGGTTCCCAAACTCGATGGGGGTTAGCTTGACACCTGCAGGAAGCGTAACGCCAGGCTCTTTAGGTTCCCGGCGCCCCCGCACCTTCCCCCAAGGTGCCTGAGGGGTCCCCACTGCACCTCCTCCCCCAGACACACTGCTGGGTTAAAGGATGTTCAGGGAGTCTGAAGATTAAGTGGGGAACCACCCAAGTCATTCGGGGTTGCAGGCAGAGGGCTTAGGCCTGGTAAGCTCTCCAAGTCCAGGTCGGCACGCAGCCCAGAGGGCTGGAGAGTGACCCTGACCTCCCCCGGCCCTCGGAGCCCAGCCAAGCCTGTACGGGGCCCCCAGATGCTTGAGCAGGTGCGTTCCACTGGGCGGCAAGCCCCTTATGGGTGAGCTTCCTGTAGGCTTCACAGGCCTGGCGAGGGGGTCCTGGGGGTGGGGGACTCCGGCTGGTGTGGGTCACATGAAATACCACTTCCCGGCAGCAGGAGGCCCAAGAAACTGTGAGAGGGTCTGCTCGGAGACAGTGCCGAGGGTGCGGGGAGGTACGTGTGCATGTGTGCTGGTTCATCTGTGCACGTGTGGGCACGTGCGTGAGGCTCTGAGTGTGGGTGCGCCCGGGCACACAAGCTGAGGACATTCTGGAAGACAGCCTTCCAGGGAGCGCACTGAGGAAGGAGCCCGGCTACCGTGGGGCAGCCGCGGGGAGGGGGCTTACCGTGGGAGAAGAACTCATTGAACACTGGCTGGCCACTGAAGTCTCCACAGAGCCCACAGGTCTGGTTGGCGTACTTGGGGTCCAGCTCCAGCTGGAATGAGAACACACATCAGACGCCTGGACCCACAGGGACATCTCATCCCCAAGGAGGGGCTGGGGGCTCCTCACAGAGGTGTCGTGGGCTGGGGATGCCTGCCCCCCACGCCAGCAGGGTCTCCACTGGGGGGGGACTAGGTCCCCCTGGGCCCCGCCTCACCGGCCCTGTGCGGTGGGGTCTGGCCATCCCCCCCACCCATGCCCAGAGCACTTTCTTCCTTCTCTGGGGAGGCTGTTGGGCTGGCGGTGCCCCCCTCCCCGGCCCCGGGCCCCGGCCTCACCAGGAGGCTGTCATCTTGGCTCCACATGAAGACCAGGCCCAGCTTGGCCACCACCTTCAAGTAGCTGCTGCTGAACTCAATGAGGACCCCGGACTGGCTAAAGGGCAGCTGAGTTCTGTGGAGAGAGAGCCAGGCTGAGGCCCCGAGGGCACTCAGGGACAGGGCAATGGAGGTCTGGCCCTTGGCGAGGGAGGGCCCCTACGGGCACGTTTGTGACCAGAGCCCTGTGCCCACGGACAGTGCCACAGGCGTGAGGATGGGGGACCCCGGAGCTCTGGTGTCACAGAGGAACTAGGAAGGGGGGGCCACTTCCGCAGGCAGGAAAAGGGCCCTGGGCCTCTGGGGGCGCGTGCAGGGAGCCCAGCACAGAGGCCTGGGGAGCGCCCGGGTGGGCCCGCGCTCGGGAACGACCCCACGTCCCCCCCACTACCACCCAGACTCACGGGCGGCCGTTGACCAGGATGGAGCTCTTGGTCAGCTGGACGACCATGCCATCAAGCTTCATGGTGACGCTGATGACCGTGGTGGCGTTGGACGCCTGGCCGCGGCGCAGCTGGACGTTGAAGTCCTCGTAGGCGGCGCCGCAGTGCGCCGAGAAGACGTAGTTGCACAGGCCCGGGAAGCGGAAGACGTCGCCGTCAAAGGTCTTGTAGTGGAAGTCGCCCCAGGCACTACACACGCGCCCGTTGTGCGCGGGGTTCCGGGCTGTGGACCAAGGCGGGCCTGAGGGTGCTGTCCTGTGCCCCAAGCTGGGACGCGGCTCCCCGGGGGCCGGCCGGCTGGGGAGGAGCTGCCTGGGCCCAGGCCGTCCTGGGAATGCATCCACCTGGGCAGCGGGACCCCTTCCAGCGGCCCCCCGCCCAGCGTCACAGACCCTCTCTCACCTCGCACCACTGGGGCTGTCCTCAGAGGGGGCAGGAAGGTCATCCCACGGAGCGGGTGGCCTGCAGGAATGCGGGCTCCGTGTCAGGCCGCCTGCACACACGGCTGTGGCTGGAGTCGGGCGTCTGCCGCCCTTGCCAAGCCCGCTGGCACCATGCCCAGCTTGGAGCTGGATGTCAGGTCCATGGGGTCAGCCGAGGCTCCTGCAGGCCAGTGGCCTTCCCTCTGGGCTGCCCCGAGGGGCCGTGAGCTCTCCGGCCCAGAATTTGGCCCGGAACTCGTCCCTGGTGCCCAGAGTCTCAGAAATGCCCAAGGCAGCACCAGGCGCCCAGGACGACCCCTTGGGCGCTGAGGCCAGTCACGGACGAGCCTCCCTCTGAGCCCAGTTTGGGGGAATGACCCTCTTCCAGGGCAGCACGGCAGCACAGGAATCCCCAGAGAAGCCACCCGCCAGCCCCGCCCCAGGCCAAGGGGACGCATATGTGGCTAAGGGATCAGGAGTTTGGCGGAGACAGGAGGATGTCGCCACAAGCTCGGGCCTCTAGCCTGTCCTCCCGTCTGAAGACGCCATGGGGAGACAAGCAGCCTTCAGGGAGCCACCAGGTGACGGACCGGGGCTGTGTGTGGGGGTGTCCTCTAGCCCCCCAAGTTCTGGCCCCAAGGGAGTGGGGCAGGGCAGCCCTGACAAGGTGGGGGTCGACTCACCACCAAGCTCCTGGGGGACGGGAAGGTCTGGGGACCTGTGGCCATGTTCCACAGAGCCATCCTGGGCCTGGCCTATGGGAAGAAGAGAGGGCACTGGGCCTGAGCCAGGCCGGCAGGGCACAGAGGGAGGGACGGGCAGACGCAAGGGCCCAGAACCGGTGGGGCTTCGCTCTCCTCAGGGCTGGGGTTGTGGGGCGGGTCTCTGCCCATGCTGCCCACGTCAGGCCCATGAGCCTCTATGAGCACTCCTTCAGCTTGGCCCCACGAGCACTTGGGGGTCCCCTGGCCCTGATGTGGCATCATTCAGTCACTATTCCTTCATTCACACTGAGTGCCTCCCTGCTTGGGACATAAGGAGCACACTGCACGCAGCTTGTGGAGGGATCAGACAGTAAGACTACGGGTCGGCGGAGTGTGTCAGGAGACAACCAGGACCCTGGGGGAGGATTTGGGACCGACTGGGGGATCCGGAGCCGAGTGGGGTGAGGCTGCCCGGCCCAGGCCCTGACCCTGCAGGGACAGTCTATGCTCATCCCTGACGCAGGTGCCCCAGGAGTGCCCAGCAAGGGCTGGCCCTGCGCGCGCAGCGGCGGGAGGCCAGGGACTGCAGGGTGCGGGCGCGCAGGGTGCCATGTTGTGGTGGCCACAGTGCTGAGGGCCTCGGGAACGTTGCCCCCTTGCCCCGGGCAGCTCCTCTGGGAGCAGCCTGTCAGCCAGCACCTGTCCAGGACCCAGCTGTCCGCTGGGATGCAGAAGCCACAAGGTGCAGAGCTGGGTGGGAGGGGGCCTCAGAGGGTCCCAGAGCCTCTTCCCAGCATCCTCACGGCATGGACATCACGATCACACCCACCCCCCAAGGCTGAGGCCCCTTGGAAACCCCTCTCAAGGCCCAGATGTGGAAAACAAGCTGATGGACTGGGGCCGTGTGGTGAGGGGGTCCCAGGGACAGGTGGGCTGCTCTGCCAGGCTGCAGGGCCCCGAGGACCTGCTCAGAGCAGGGGGTAGAGGCAGCGAGCAGCAGGAAATCACACATGGATGGACAGGAAGACAGACAGGGGGCTTGGAGACGCTGGGTTCCCACTTCCCCACCTCAGGGGCCCCTGCCCCCACGTGGACCCCCGTGGCCCCCGAGAGCCCCCCAACCCCACAAGCTGGCAACTGCAAGATAGCTAGGGCCAGAGCCCGGGGCCAAGGGGCCGGGAGCCACTCTCAGACATGCTCAGCTTCCCCGGGGCCCAGGGTAAGGCCTCGGAGCTGCCTGCCGCCCTCCCGGGCCCAGAGCTGCCCCCAGGTATAGGGGAACCACGGGGATGCCAGGTCAGGGCCACCCCGGGAAAGCGGCTCGGTGGGAGCCTTACCTGTGTGCTGGGCACAGGCCAGGGTGAGGGCCAGGGCCCAGAGTGGGGCCAGCTTCCTCCCGCCGACACCCATTCTACGGAGGGAGGGGAGAAGTCCCCAGGGGCAGCGTCTGAGGAAGGACCTGAATGGGCAGGAGCCTTTTGTAGCCCCAGAGCTGGCTCCAGCCCAGTAGCTTCACGTGGGTGGGCGGGACAGGGCCTGCCGTTCCCCTCACCCAGGCAAACAGTGGGCACTCACTCTCGGCTGGCCAACAGCTGGAGCCAGGCAGAGATGGGCGCAGCTGCCAGGTGGGGCCTGGTTTCCTGAGGGCTCCCCAGCCCTGGCCTGCAGGGATCCTCCTGCTGTGCCCCTCACCCCTGCAGCTTCCCTAGGCATGCTTCTGTGAAGCCGGACCCCACAGACTTCCTGGGGCTGATGGGGATGCCAGGGCCTCACCCTCTCTGGAGAGGGGCTCAGGGGGCAGCACCCCCAGCGACAGGACCCTGCCCCACAGTGCAGCACCCGGCTTGGCACCACCTCAGACCCTGGCTGGGCTTCCGGTTCCTGGCTCCAGGCATGGAGTGGGCAGCCCCAGGCCAGCTTGAGTCACACATGGCTTCATGGCCACGAGGGGTGGAAGTGGCCGAACCCACTGGGCCAGGGAGCTGCCAACGGGCTTACCCCAGAAATCATCCCAGCAGGTGGACTGAGACGGCCCTATAGTACAGCCGACACCCGGCCCCAGACCGTGGGTGCATGGGCGTCGGGTCCTTTTGGTGTGCTGCGTACCATGGCTGAGCTCTCCCTCACAAGGCAGCCACATGCCCCACAGACCAGCAGTTCCACTGATGATGAGAGGTCCCCACTGGGGAAGGTGGTGGCAACGGCAGTGGGAGAGGCTGGGCTGGGCCCCTCTGAGCATCTCTTTCCTGCTCAGGGGGGCCTGTCCCAAGCGCCTTATAGTTGCCTGGTTTTGGGTCTCTGAGTCGTCCCCTCCCCACGCCCTGACTTGGCCCTAGTGCCTGTGAGAGAAAGCACCGCGTGCGGTGGGGGATTGTGGGGGATCATGGGGAATCATGTGATATCGTGGGGGGATCATGTGGAATTGTGGGGGATCATGTGAGATCGTGGGGTATCATGGGGGATCATGGGGGATCATGTGAGATCGTGGGGGATCATGTGATATCGTGGGGGATCGTGTGGAATTGTGGGGGATCTTGTGGGATCGTGGGGGATCATGTGGGATCGCGGGGGATCGTGGGGGATCATGTGGGATCGTGGGGGATCATGGGGGAACAGCAGCAGAAGGCTGACAGGGTGAGTGAGTGCGGCCCCCAGCTGCCTGGTGCTTCAGCCGTTCTGACCCCCACCAGGCTCCCCTGCTCGGCCTTGGAGCTGGACACTAGGTCACCTGCGGCTGAGCAAGGCAGCAGGGTCCCCAGGGACAGGCAGGGTGGACGGGTCTGGCCCCAAAGTGCTGTGAGGTTTTGGAGGTTAGGACAGTGAACACTGGGAACCGGGGCCGTGGGCGAGGCCTTGAGGGTCTGTGGGAAGCATCCGGGACCCAGGCTGAGGGGAGTGTGAGGGACAGACTCCCCCCCAAAGCAGGGAGGCACAGGCCCAGCGGTGTCCCTGCTGCTGGCACTGGACTCGAGCCGGGGTTCACACGCGACCCCTCGCTCCTCTCTGCTGGGGGACACGCCCTGCATGCACAAGTCTGCGCCACCGGGCAGCTGCTGACCACCCAGAGCTGGCTGCCCAGGTGCCTCCAGGCCACTGGAGGTCCCTGCCTCGGGTTAATGTCCCTTCCCAGGCTCATCCCCCTCTGTCTCCCGTAAGGTGCTGCCCGGGACCGCTGCCAGGGTCCGAGACCACTGCCCCAGTCCACTACAGCCTGGCTGCTCCGGGCTTCCTCCTGGGGCCCAACCTGAACCACAGGACCCGAGCTACCAGGCACTTTCCCGTCCTCTGAAAACCCAGCCCAGGCAGGATACCCTGGGAGGCCCCAGGCCTGACGCCAGTTCATGTCTCAGCTTTTGGGGCTCTTGAGGGACCCCTGGGGAGGGCACTGGAGTCGGGGCAGGTATGGGGCCGGCCACCTAGCCTCAAACATCGGGGCCCTTCTTCTCTGTGACCTTGTGCCCCTGGGGTGGGCTGAGGGTAAGCATGGGCCCTTCTCAGCGTGCAGTGCTTGGCCAGCCCGCCCCAACATTGTCCACTCGGTGGCCATGCACAGAGCCAAGGTCAAGACTATGGAGGGGGCTGTGAAAGGATGAGGGGCTGGGGGTCCCCTGGAGCAGCTTGGCAGTGACTGTGCCCTCCTGCCCCTTCTCAGGGGCTTCATGCTCAGGAAGGGGTGGTGCGGGGACAGGGCGAGGCTGGGGCTAGTTGTGGCCTCCCTGAGCCTCCGTTCCCTCATCTGAGGACAGGGTGCATGGGAATCTTGGCAAGCAGTGGGCCACGTGAGGAGGGCGCCGTGCCCAGGGAATAGGGGCACATGTGGGGACGGGCCTTTGCTCCCTGGGGCCCCTGCTGCCAGCCCCCACCGCGGGTCTGATAAAGTGATGGGCTTGCAGGAGTCTGGTGAAGCCGGGCGGGGTCCGGCCCTCACAGGGTCTGGCCAGCCTTGGCCACGTCCCAGAGTGGGGTTCTTGCTGTCACTGCTATCGCCACTCAGATTTGGGCCAGGAAGCGGCCATCAGGTGGCCCTCTTTGTCACGGGTGACTGGACCGAGACTCAGGGGAGGACGAAGCCCACCAGCCGGGATCGGGCCTGAGCAAGGGCCCTGCACGTGGGTGCGAGCCCGTGCCCCACTCCCGGGGCGAGGGTGAAGATAGGCGGCAGTGTGCCCCCTGCAGCTCAGATGCATGAGGTGATGGAGAGGCAGCCCCCAGCTCCTCGCCTGGGACAGAGCCCCCCCCCACTCCTCTGACACCCGTCACTATACGAAGAGCCACGGTTCTGGGACTCTGGACCCCCAGCCCTGCCCTGACCCTGACCCTGACCCTGACCCTGACCCGGCCCAGCCCAGCCATTCCTGGGCAAGGTGACCAGGGTGGGGGACATTGGTTTCCACGCCACCAGCCCCCTGTCAGTGTTCCTACCCTGGGCACAGCTAAGGCCCCAAAGCAGGTGACCCACGGACCTGCTGGGGTCACTTGGTGCTAGCCAGTGGGACCTGGGGGGCTGCCCCCCAACTGCCCTGCTCCTCCATGAGGCTGCAGGTGGGGACTCTGTCCAGGGGAGGCCAGGCCAGGCTAAGGCGGGAAAGGAAGCAGCTTCATGGGTCTTCTCAAGTGGGGCTCCGTGGGGCTGTGTTCTGGGACGAGGAGGTCAGCAAGGACTATCCTCCCTCCCTGGTGCCCTCCAGGGGCTGCGGTGGGGACACACCCCAATTCTACCCTCCCAACGGGGGGTACTCCCACCCAGCAGTCCGCACCTGCACCCCACACGCCAGGCCCCTCCCGGTGGCCCTGAGGACCCAGCCGGCCACTCCAACGCACCAACAGCCAGCGCCCGCTGAGCCCACACCTCGGGGCCTTCGTCCGTTCGTTCAGTCCTTCAAAACCCAGACCCCAGAGCGGGAGGAGGTGTGGTTACTCCACTTCGAGGATGACTCAGGTGGGAGGCACCCGGCCGGGCTGGGACCCCAGACTCGGGGAGAAGGTGTCCCACCCGCGTGTGGCCCAGAGCCAGCATATCACCCTCACTGCACCTCAGGTCCCTCCTCTGGGAAACAGTGACCACAGGACCCGCTGCTCAGAGACATGAGTCAGCCAGGCATCCTCTGAGCTTCATCTGGACTCCAGAAGTGCCCCCGCTGCCCCCGTGGGGCCCGCCACCCCACCCCACCCCCCGAGACTTGGGCCGAGTCAGGCCCTTGCAGAGTTCCTGCTGCCAAATCCCTGAAACGGCCTGATGACCCCACACTGTGTCATTTCTTGGACTTTTGCACATTTAATGAGTGTGGCTTCTTGCCCCCCCCCCACTACATCAGATCTTGCACTGTGGCCCCGCCCGCACCTCGCCTGCCACACCGACAGCCCGAGGGTCACGGGTGTGGCCCCGCCAGCCCCCACCCAGCGCGCAGGTGCCAAGTTTGCTGGCGTCACAGAGGGGGAAATGGGCATTTGTGGAAGTGTTACCACGCATCCTGGGTGATAGGGAGTGATTTCTCAAATCACCCGGGACAGGCCGCGTCCCTCATAACCACGGGGAGGAAGTGGGAAGTGGGCTGGGCTCTGGGAGCCACTGATAGTGGAGGCCGGATTATCTATGGGTGCTGTTGACACAAAAGGCAGGTGTGGCCAGGAGCTTCCTTGATAAGGACAAAGACAACCCGATCCCTTCCTGCTTCGCTGCGGGGGGGGGGGGGGGGCGGACAGGAGAGCCATTCGGCAGTGCCCACGGCTAGGGTCAACCTCCTAGCCTGAGGGGCCGAGACCCTCACTGCCCAATGGGTTGGGGGTCAGGGGTGAGCTCTCCCATGAGACAGAAAGGGAGCTGAGAGTAAATTTGGTTTTATGGCGGGGCTGCACTGATTTGGAACCTTCGTGTGCATATTTATTTATCTGAATCACTGGACAAATAGAATTCCTCTGTAGAGCTGGGCTGGCTGCTGAGCCCTGGCCCCCAAGGTCCATGGTCTGGTCAAAAGGCCAGCTCCCCCCGCGCCCTGCCCCCACCCCATCCACAGAGGGCCCCACCCCTGCCCCCATCACCCCAAGGGTCTGTGACGGGGTTGGGGGAGGGCACTGTCCACTGGGGCCGATCCCTGAAGTTGAGCATGTTTGTGTCCTAGGGGTCAGGGAGTGGCTCACAGGCTACCCCTCCTCTGCCCGCAGGGGGCCACCAGCCCCACCAAGCAGCCTCATCCACAGTGCCATTTCCCCACCAGGCTCAGGGACCCGCCAGGCCACTTGATCACCAGGAAGGGGGGGACAGAATGAACTGTCATCCACACGTCCCTCACTGCGGCTCCCCACGGCATGTGGACCACGGGTCAGTCCCTCTGACGTCAGCACCGCAGGGGTGTGTGGGGGGTAGAGTGTCTGTCTAATACTATCAGCAAATTTAAAAGGTATTTTTCTCA